GTTAACGGTAACGTAACAACCTAACTAACGTAACGTAACGTAACTAACGTAGTACGTAACGTAACTAAACTAACTAATATAGTACTATAGTATAGTGTATATATATATATATATATATATATATATATATATATATATGCACATATATTGAACAAGACATTCAGGCATAAGGATCGATCAAAGCATTCTAGCATGAAATATAACATACACCTCATCATCAAGCAATCACAACAAAAGGAGTCCTGCAATAGAAGCACTTACCTCGGGTCCGAGGTTGGAACTTCTACCTTGTCCCATCGAAGAAGTGCCACTCGCTTCCGTTTGAGCTGTGACACCTCACTCACACCCATGGTCACCAACACACTTTGCGATTTTGATAGGCACTAGCCTTGCAAGACACTACTTCCTATACCCACTTGGATAAGAGTTTGCACTGTCTGGGTGCTAATCACTATGAATGGGGGAACGACCACCCAAACATCTCTTGCCCTACTCTTGTCCTATTATGGGGAGTTGGGGAGGTCACAACTGCCGGCACAAGCTAGTAATAAGTCAGGTCATGCAATACGCTCAAAGCATGCCAAGAAATCACGTATCACGTCATGCGCACCTCACTAGTGCCAATCATAGCCATGCAACACACTTAACGCATGTCAAAAAATCACATCTCACATCATGCGCACCTTACAAGTGCCAATCACGGCCATGCAATACGCTTAAAGCATGCCAAGAAATCACATCTCATATCATGCGCACTTCGCTGGTGCCAATCATGACCATGCAATACGCTCAAAGCGTGCCAAGAAATTACATTTCTCATCATGTGCACCTCACTGGTGCCAATCATGGCCATGCAATACGCTCAAAGCATGTCAAGGTATCACATCTCACATCATGCGCACCTCACTGGTGCCAATCATGGTCATGCAATACGCTCAAAGCATGCCAAGAAATCACATCTCACATCATGCGTACCTCATTGGTGCCAATTATATCATGCAATACGCTCAAAGCATGTCAAAAAATCACATCTCACATCATGCACACCTCACTGATACCAATCATGGCTACGCAATACGCTCAAACCATATGAAGAAATCACATATCATAAGAGACATCACTTTGTTATATTATCATGCTTATCAAATCAAGAGACATTACCATGTTAGTAGAATGCTATATATCAATGTAATAAACATCACTATGTCATATTATCATGCTAATCAGTTCAAGAGATATTGCTATATCAATAGCATGCTATATACCAATGTAATAAACATCTCTAATACATATTATCAAGCTTATCAATTTAAAGATACATTAATATGTCAGTATCATGCTATGTATCAATGTAATAAACATGACTATGTCATATGACCATGCTTATCAAATCAAGAGGCATTTATCAGTAGCATGCTATATATCAATATAATAAATATTACTATGTCATATTATTACACTTATCAATTCAAGAGACATTACCATATCAATAAAGCTATATATCAATGTAATAAACATCACTATGTCTATTATGATGCTTATCAATCCTAGAGACATTATCATCATAATAGTATGCTACCTATCAATATAATACACATCACTATATCATTCAGTGTTTTAAAATGCGGGATGCGGCCTTGATGTGATGGGGGGCCGATGCGGCGATGCGGCCCTGATGCGGGTGCATCGCGATGATGCGGTCAATAAATGTAAAAAAATTCTAAAAAATAAAAAAAATAGGTTAATGTATAGAAAAAAATATGAAGGTGATATATGTGATAGTAGGTATTTTAGTTTAATGATTAACTTCAAAACTATTAGCTGTCGGAGATTCTGTATCCAGTTATCCACTATCCCCTGATAGAATCTAGAAACTTGAAATCAGCTTCGTAAAGCATTCAACAATCAACAACCATAAGCACAAATTTGCACCATAAGCACAACCATCAACAACCATAAATACAACCATAAGCACAAAATAGTGATATTACAAAATACAAGCCAAAAGTCAAGTTCAAGAAGAGTTAATAGTTAATAACTTAATACAATCATCCATTTTGAGAGTCAATTTTGAAATTTGAACTTCATTTTTTTCAAATATCAATCAGACAAGTCATCTTGAGAGTCATCATGCGCATCATCAATATTATCCTCGACGGCCTCCATGTATTCTTCTTCATCAGTCTCTTCTAAGTCAGCTTCCTCCTCGACCTCTGAAGCTAATGTGCGAGTGCGACTAGACCCAGCAGCTCCTCTACTCCTTTGTGCTCTAGTGTTAGGTCGATCTTCTTCATTAACCCCTGTTGCTAGCTCGACATCAAGCCATATAAGATCCTCACCCTCAAACACACGCTCGTCTTGGATCCACGGTCCACTTACTTACGGAATCACCATCAGCTTCATATAATTGAATAGGGCTGAGCTTCGTGCGATTTTCATACCTCTCCCTAAGCCGCTCGTTATACCGCACATAAACCAAATCATTCAACTTTTTTTGCTTCCAACTTATTTCTTTTTTTTATATGGAGCTGTGGTAGAAATTTGAAATAAGATAAATTAGATTTTAGATTAGAAAATTGAAATTCAAGAAATAAAGATTAAGGAATGAGGAGTAAAGGACTTACATGCTCAAATGCACTCCAATTGCTCTCACAACCAGATGAGCTACATGTGAGATTCAACACTCGAATAGCAAGACGTGGTAGATTTGGTGTCTCGCTTCCATATAATGCCCACCATGCAGCTGTATAATATTTTATAATTTAGAATATAGTTAAAAATTAAGGGTATAAAATAAACAATAAACTATACATTAAGTAAGAGACAAGTAAGATTATTTTTGGGCTTTTGGCCTTTACCTGGATCTGTAGTGTCCTTATTTCGAGTGGCAATATCTCTCCCAAAGTTTCCCAAGGCTAACTTGAACTTAATCAATTCATGGCTCTGGATTTCATCCTGGATATTTTTGTCTGGCACCAACCTCTCCAGCATATTTAAGAACCCACCATTTATTACACGATTTGACTCAATGGATGGGTGCTTGTAATGAAGAGATGGGTTTAGAAAAGAACCGGTTAAATGGAGGTGCCTGTGAAGCTGGGTATCCCATCTCCTATCAATAATTTCAAGCATAGCCTTACGCATATTTTCATCATCCTTTAAAATATCTTCTATTTCAGCTCTTGCCCAAGTTATTGCCTCATGTATGTAGCCCATGGCGGGCTTCGCATCACCATCAACCAGTCGAAGCACTCTCACTAAAGGGCGAGCCACCTCCAATGCAATAAGTATTTGACTCCAAAAAGATATATTCAAATATTTTTTTTAGCCTTTCTCCCATCCTTATGCTTTGACCATTTGCTTTGACTCCATTGCTCTGAAGCAAAAATGATCCTCAAGGCACTTTTTTGCTTGGCTAGGCTTCGAAGAGTGAGAAATGACGTGGCAAATCTAATGATACCCGGTCTCACTAATTCTCTCTTCTTTGTAAAAGACCTCATCATGCTTAGGACTATGGTGTGATTGTAAATAAATCCAACAACAAACATAGCTCTTAAAATCACCCCATTAAATAAAGATGTACCCATTTCCTTAAGCATAAGATTAACACAGTAAGCTACACAAGGTGTTCAAAACATATGCTTCCTTTTCAAAGTCAAGAATGCCCAACTGCAGCATAGTTGGCACTATTGGCAGTGATAATTTGTACCACATTTTGCTCCCCAACAAAATCGACAATCTCATCCATCAAGCCAGATAAGTATATACCATCATGTGACTAAAGTACCTGTTGGGTAGTTACCCAAAAAATTAATGAATGCCCTTGATTTCCCATTGGACCAACCATCACCCATAATAGTGGCCCCATATTTCTCCCACCCTTCTCTCTGAGAAATCAAAATTTTATTCACATCAAATACAACATCCTTCAACAAGGGCTCCCTAACCTCATGTAGTGAAGGAGGAATAAGTCTTGGGCCATATTATCCAATTGTCTGGACCATACATGCAAAACTATCCAGAGTTATAGTATTAAAAGGAATGCCGGCCATGTAAATGCACTTTGCAATCCACTTACATACCGATTTCCTTTGTTCTTTCTTATATTTATTGTCAATTGTGGTTTGTTTAGTTTTTTTCTCTCTCCTGAACCACAATTTCGGGGCTAGGGGTGAAAAAAG